GACCTGGGGAGTTAGCTGAGGAGTGAGGGATATGGGGCAGGAGGTGGCGAGTGAGGGGTACAGGGAGTTAGGTGGGAAGTGAGGGACACGGGGAGTTAGGTGGGGAGTGAGGGGTATGGGGAGAAGGTTGATGAACAGTGAGTTGAGAGATATGATGTGGCAAAAGGTGGGTCTGTGTGGAGGGGGGGATATGGGGGGGGGGGGACATGGGGTGTTAGGTGGGGAGTGAGTGATATGGGGAGGTAGGTGGGGACTGAGGGATATGGGGCTTTAGGTGGGGAGTGAGGGATATGGAGTGTTAGGTGGGAGAGAGGGATATGGGGAGGTAGGTGGGAGAGAGGGATATGGGGAGGTAGGTGGGGAGTGAGGGCTATGGGGTGGGAGGGATATAGAGTGTTAGGTGGGGAGTGAGGGGTATGGGGAGGTAGGTGGGGAGTGAGGGATATGGGCAGTGAAGGATATGGAGTGTTAGGTGGGGAGTGGGGGGTATGGGGAGGTGGGTGGGGAGCGAGGGGTAGGGGGAGTGGGGGTGGCGGAGGGTGAGGCTGTGTGGAGTGAGGGATTTGCGCTGAAGGTGGTTGATTGGAAAGGAGGATGGAACGTGAGAAGCTGATTAGTAGGAGAGGTGTACAATACAGTGGCCGGTTGTTATGTGTGCTGATACACCTGGCTGGTTGAGTTTGAGATGATGGATTTGTTCAGTGGAGAAGTCTTTCCGAGTGGTTACACAGTGCTGTGTTCTGAATATGGTGATGTTCCAGGAGTGCAGATCACAGCCAAATGGAGTCTGACCCAGGGACTTTGAGATGTCTCATCTATTTGGTCTTCTGGAAGTTATTAATATCGGATTTGTCATCTTGTGAAGGAATATCTCTGTGATCTCAAGTTCCTTCTGTTTGGTGTGATTCTAAGCTTCTGTTCGCTCTTGAGAAATCTTTCACCTTCCTGCCCTCTCTCCCCATGTCTGCAACCCCTGTTCGCCTGTTACTGAGAGGTGTTCTGTGTGTGTAACAGCAACTCATCTTTTATGTAGTGCCTTTAGTTCACAAACACATCCCAAGGTGCCTCTCAGAGGCATAAACTGCACAAACACATTGGAGTTTGGGGGAATGAAGGGGGGATCTTCTAGAAACATGTACAATTGTAAAGGGAATAGAAGCAGGGGGGTTGTTTCCACTGGGGGTGTGAAACTAGAACAAGGGGGCAGAGCCTCAAAATAAGGGGGAGCGGGTTCAGGGCCAGGTCGGAGCGAGTTCAGGGCCGGGTCGGAGCGTGTTCAGGGCCGGGTCGGAGCGGGTTTAGGCCTTGGTCGGAGCGGGTTTAGGGCTGGGTCAGAGGGGATTTAGGGCCGGGTCGGAGTGGGTTTAGGGCCGGGTCGGAGGGATTTAGGGCCGGGTCGGAGGGGATTTAGGGCCGGGTCGGAGGGG